AGAAACTGTCATACTTTATAAAAAACACATTCAATAACAGTTAAAACAGTTTAAATGGTTCTTACCCTTGTCAACCTGGTGATGGTGTAGAACAATATAACAGTTTAAATGGTTCTTACCCTTGTCAACCTGGTGATGGTGTAGAACAATATAACAGTTTAAATGGTTCTTACCCTTGCCAACCTGGTGATGCTGTAGAGAAATATAACAGTTTAAATGGTTCTTACCCTTGTCAACCTGGTGATGGTGTAGAACAATATAACAGTTTAAATGGTTCTTACCCTTGCCAACCTGGTGCTGGTGTAGAGAAATGTAACAGTTTAAATGGTTCTTACTCTTGCCAACCTGGTGCTGGTGTAGAGAAGTATAACAGTTTAAATGGTTCTTACCCTTGTCAACCTGGTGATGGTGTAGAGAAATATAACAGTTTAAATGGTTCTTACTCTTGCCAACCTGGTGTTGGTGTAGAGAAGTATAACAGTTTAAGTGGTTCTTACCCTTGCCAACCTGGTGCTGGTGTAGAGAAATGTAACAGTTTAAATGGTTCTTACCCTTGCCAACCTGGTGCTGGTGTAGAGAAGTATAACAGTTTAAATGGTTCTTACCCTTGCCGACATGGTGCTGGTGTAGAGAAATGTGATCGACTTGGTTTTTTGTGTCGCATAGAAGAATCTTTTTCTGAGTCAGGACCACGAGCATGAGAAGAGTACTTCTCATTCTCCATCATCCAGTGATACACCCTACAAAGTGAAGATAATTTACACTGTGTCTTTCAATGAAGCCAATAGTAAAGAACACAATGTCACGTGTCATCCATCATTGAACAGACCAACTACATGTGTACAATGTCACGTGTCATCCATCATTCAACAGACCAACTATATGTGTACAATGTCACGTGTCATCCATCATTCAACAGACCAACTATATGTGTACAATGTCACGTGTCATCCATCATTCAACAGACCAACTATATGTGTACAATGTTACGTCATCCATCATTCAACGAACCAACTACATGTGTACAATGTCACGTGTCATCCATCATGCAACAGACCAACTACATGTGTACAATGTTACGTGTCATCCATCATTCAACAGACCAACGACACTCATACAATGTCACGTGTCATCCATCACTCAACAGACCAACTACATGTGTACAATGTCACGTGTCATTCATCATTCAACAGACTAACTACATGTGTACAATGTCACGTGTCATCCATCATTCAACAGACCAACTACATGTGTACAATGTCACGTGTCATCCATCATACAACAGACCAACTACATGCATACAATGTCATGTGTCATCCATCATTCAACAGACCAATTACATGTGTACAATGTCACGTGTCATCCATCATACAACAGACCAACTACATGCATACAATGTCACGTGTCATTCATCATACAACAGACCAACTACATGTGTACAATGTCACGTGTCATCCATCATTCAACAGACCAACTACATGTGTAATCCTAAAGAAATTGTACAATTTCTACTCCTTAGCCTTTTCTATTCTGATATAAAGTGTGGGAAATTTTTACTGTATATAATTACATATCTCCATATTACATATACAAATTTCTTAATGTGTGTATTTACATATAAAAAGTATAAACACTTTACTGTGTATATTAACAAATAGGGCTTGGAAAATAAGCAATTTAAGTCATTAATCAGCTCAAAACACAATCCATTTTAAAAACAACATGTAATCACCCATCAAACTTACAATATATCATTTATTGAAACTGTTTAAATAAGTTTACATGAACAAATGGACAGGTTCAGAGTGACACTTGAGGAGAGTCTCGGAGGAATAATTTACAAAAGTATCAGGTGGAAAGGATGATGCTTGAAAAGCCTTTTGTCTTCTGTCTTCAGGTCACTTTGCACTGGTTTTTGTGGTGCATGGGAAGATTGGAGAGGACTTAACATGGTTGGTTGGTGGAACAAGAAATGATTTGAGCAACGGTAGCCACAAACTACTGATTTCAAGGCCCAAGTCTTTATTTAGCAATAGTTTCATTGCAATGTTGTAAAAAGAATGTTTGATTTTTCATGTTTTACAGAATTTACCCGAGTTGACACCCTGGGGTTTCACATTTAGAGTTGTTGAGTGAAATCAGTTGGGACACTATTAAAGTAGACTGTAACATCAAAACTGACAAGGACATCCTGGGGTTTGACATTTAGAGATGTTGAATGAAATGCTTTGAGCTGTGGACATTATGTTCAATATTACCCCATTGTGTTGATAGGATAAGTAATAAGTTAAGTGATGGCAAGGTGAGTTTATGGCACTGATATTAACTCTGACAAGTTTGTCGATCTTAGGCAATCCATAAAACTGTGGAGGATAGTTAATACTGGTTCTTGGTTGTGTTTTCATTTTTGGGTTTGTTTAAAGTTCTATTGATGAGACTCTCTGTTTTTTATGTAGGGTAATTGTTGAGCTTTTTGTATTGGTAGCAGTCTAGTAACTATATGATCTTGGTGTGTGGTAGCCATCTAGTAACTGTCTGATCTTGGTGTATGGTAGCCATCTAGTAACTGTCTGATCTTGGTGTCCGATCGCCATCTAGTAACTGTCTGATCTTGGTGTATGGTAGCCATCTAGTAACTGTCTGATCTTGGTGTCTGGTGGCCATCTAGTAACTGTCTAGTCTCAGTGTCCAATCGCCATCTAGTAACTGTCTGATCTTGGTGTATGGTAGCCATCTAGTAACTGTCTAGTCTCAGTG